CATTGTGGAATTACATCGTCCACAGAATCACCATGAATAACTGAATTACAGTATATTAGGACGATTTCATTTGTATTATGGGGATATTTTATTTACGAATATTTAAAAATTCAAGAGTATATTGATTTAAACACATTATTTTTACAGTTATCTAATATATTTAATAATAAAATATAATCATAGCAGGTTATCGCTCTGTACTTCTTTTGTAAATGAATAAAATGTTTAGCATAAATAACACACAAATAACCTGTTTATTGTTTTGTCCCGTCTTAATTTCTTCGTCTCGGGGAGCGCATGTTTGAAAATTATCGGATATGCAGAGGGCGCTATCAAAATGAGGATATTTCTCTCGGACCATGGGCAGACAGGATATTTCCAACTTTTCTCTTCTTATATATTTGTCTAGGCCTAGTCCATCTCCTCTTTTTCTTTTTCCGACAATTTGCACCTTTAGCACATTCTCATCTGAGTTTTCAAGAAAACCTGCAATGATCCTGCCATCCTGCTAATCTCAATCGGCCGATGGCCAATTCCGACAAAGTAATTACCCACCACCACTAATTGTATCTGCTATTTTGCTGTTATGTAAATATTCACAGCATTCTTGTCATGAGCCATGTTCTTCAGAGGAATATCTTTTCCGCCGCACCACCATTTGTAATGTTCTTATACAATAATTTTTCATTCAAAAAGTGGCTCTTGAGTTTATTAAGTTCCCATTATTATAAGAACCCCTCGATTTTCATCTATTTCCATAAGCGCCCCCTGAATTTCCACTCTTTTTTCATAAGCGCCCCGTTTGAATAAGTGCCCCTCAAAAAGTGCAAAAAAATAATTTGTAAGCGCCCGGGCGCTTATTCGCGGGTACATAAAAAATAAGCTCCCAGCGGATAGTCCGCTGTGTCCATGCCCTATACTGTCTTACATTATTTTTTTTATAATAAAGTATCCACATGGATGAATCGGTTTCATAAATGTGTGGTGTTTTTTTTTTTTTTTTTTTTTTTTTTTTTTTTTTGTATGACATTCAAGGTACAGTAAAATGGTAAAAGGTTTCGATAATTTAAATACAAATGATTATTTTGTTTTATAAAGCATTCAATATCTATAGGTCATAGGTTTAAGATTGCAAAACAGCACACCAGAATTATGCATGGAAAGCACTTTTTGATCTACCATATAGTTAAACCTGGTAACCATTATATATCAATTAAATAACGTTACATTCATTAAAGCCCAGCAAACAAAAAACGTTCTTATAACCTTCGCGAACGTTGTGGTTTGGTATGCCACAAAATAACAACGTTCGAACATTACGATGACGTTGTGAAATTAGGTATAATAAGTTAATATAAACACCAAAATTTAAAGTTATTTTAAGTTCTTGAATGGATTCCTCCATGGATGGATGGATCGATTTTGGTTAAACACCAAGGATAACTCACACGAAAGCCTGAAGAAGACTTAATTCCAGTGGAGAGTCCTTCTGGTGGTGATTGGTCAGTATACCGGGACAATCCCCTCCTTTTCCGAAGAGTGTTCGTTACGTGCAGTGGCTCTCCAGCTGAAATACAAGGAGAGTGCGATGGAAATGTACTGGGGATCTCCACGGTTCTTCTTATAACTATTGCTAGCTGGGATGTTTTCAAGATATACGGTACTGTACCGTAAATACAATGGAGGCGCCAGCGTA